CCCCCCCCCCCCCCCCCCCCCCCCCAAAAAAAAAAAAAAAAAAAAAAAAAAAAACCCCTCTCCCCCCTTTTTCCTTCCTCCTTTTTTTTTGTTTTTTTGCTAATTAACTGAGGTTAACATGCTAACTTGTCAAACTTATGGGTGATCGTTTAAGTTGTTGACACTGTATTGTTGGTTAGGATTCCTGAGGTTATTAGGATTACTAATCTATTTTGGTAATAGGTTATTAGGATTCCTAATTTGATTTGGCTTTTGGTTTAGAATTCCTAGTATGTTTATGATTTTAGGATTTCTATATATATGGAACAATTGAAGGAGAGAGGAGAGAAAAGAAGAGATTTAGCATTGTTTTGAGCACTTTGAGAGGGAGATATTGTGAGGGAGTTGAGAGCTTTGGTTAGGGTTATATTTGAGTGATTTTGTGAGTTGTAACCCGTTGTATTTCTCCTCCATATAGTGAAATCTCCCTCTCCTCTCCTCGTGGACGTAGGCAATTTGCCGAACCACGTAAAAATTGGTTGTACTGCTTTTGTGTGATTTGTAATAGCTTTTTAGGATCCCTCGACAGGTCAGTCCTAGAACTGATGAGAGGAAGAGCCGATATCTCACTTTGTTGAGATATTCGCTTCAGATTCTTATTTCCTTGGTGAGACGTGAATTCTTATTGCGATCTGACTCTCTTGTTGTGCTGTCGAAGTGCTGTCGAAATTTTCGCTGCGCGCAATAAGTGGTATCAGAGCCCAGATTTCAGATCTAGGGTGTTTTGGATTAGGTGGAGGAAGATTCAGTTGGAAGCTTGGTTCTTGGAGTTTTAGGCTTCGGTGGAGATAGGATTTGAAGTTGTCGTTGGAGATCTCGCTTTCCTCGTGTGGTTAGGAGTTCTATTTGGAATCCAATCTAGAGTTCAGTTGGGTAATTTCTTATTCTTTTCAAAGTTTGAATCTTTCTTTGCAATTTGGAGTTAGTTTGCAATGGGAGAAGAAGGTGAAAGCAACAAGTCGATAGCGAGTACAATACAAGTTGGTTTTCAGAACACTAAGATTAATGTGGTGAAGTATGACGGCAAAATTAACTTTGGTTTGTGGATGAACGACGTACAGGATGCGCTCAATGCTCAGAACTTGGAGGAGACCATTATGGTCCACGATAGGCCATCTAAATATGAAGAGGCGGTATGGGAGAAGATGAATAGGAACGCTTGTGGGGTGATCAGGTCCTGTTTAGAACAGGAGCTGAAATATGATGTGATTGGGGTGACGTCTGCAATGAAGATGTGGGAAATTCTCAACAACAAGTATCTCACGAAGAGTGTTGAGAACATGTTGCACTTGCTGCGAAGACTCTTCAACAAGTATCTCACGAAGAGTGTTGAGAACATGTTGCACTTGCTGCGAAGACTCTTCAGATTTCAGATGTCTAGAGGCATCTCGCTAGCGGCTCATGTGAACAACTACACTAAGTTGTCGAACTTGGCGAATGTTGATGAGAAGATATCGGATGAGTACAAGGCGATTATTTTGTTAGGCTCCTTACCCGATGAGGAGTATGATACCTTCGTGCTCACTTTGTTGAACGGGAGATCTTATATCAGCTATAGTGAAGTGACTAACGCTTTGACCAATTATGATTTGAGGAGGAAGGACAATGAGACTTCCCGTGCTAGCACTTCAGGCGAGGCCTTGTCGACGAGAGGTAGAAGCCCATATCCGAAAGGTGGTAATAGAGGAAGGTCAAAGTCAAGAAGCCGCCACCAATTAGCAAAGAACCAATGTGCATTCTACAAGGAGCAGGGACATTGGAAGAGAGACTGTTCGAAGTTCAAGGAGAAAGAGAATGGCAAGAAAAAGGGCCCGAAGGCCAATGATGTGAATATTGCGAAAGGCGATGATTCCGATGATTCGTGCTTTTCTCTACTGATTACTCCGGAGGTGAACCATGTGGATGCATCAGATTGGATGCTTGATTCTGACGCTACTTTTCATGTGACCCCTAGGCGAGACTGGTTTGCATCTTTTGAGAAAGTCGACGGGGGCGTTGTTGTCATGGGAAATGATCAATCCTGTGGCGTTTGTGGGATAGGTACCGTGCGGATTAGGATGTACGATGGAGTAGTCCGTGAGTTGAAGGATGTGAGATTTGTTCCTCAACTGAAGAAAAATCTTATCTCAGTTAGAGCTTTGGAGGCGAAGGGATTCAAGGTGACTTTCGAAAACGCTGTAGCGAAGGTTACTAAGGGATCATTGGTGGTGATGAAGGGAGTCCGCAATCGGAATTTGTATTATCTGAAAGGAAGCACCGAGATTGGCCAGGTTGCTTCGGCTATTTCAGAAGCGGACATGAGCAGACTTTGGCACTATAGGTTGGGGCACACAGGTGAAAAGTCACTGCATGCATTGTGTAAGCAGGGGCTATTGAAGGGAGCTAAGAGTGGGAAGATTGAGTTCTGTGAGTACTGTGTTCTTGGCAAGAAGACGAAGGTAAAGTTCGGGACTGCTATTCATCAGACGAGAGGCATCCTGGACTACGTGCACATAGACGTTTGGGGTCCTACCAAGACTGCATCACTTGGTGGTAGACATTGGTTCGTCACTTTTGTAGATGACTATTCTAGGCGTTGTTGGATGTACACAATGACGAAGAAGAGTGAAGTCCTAGATTTGTTTGTGGAGTGGAAGAAGAGATTGGAACTGCAGACTGGGAGAAAGATCAAGACGTTGCGATCCGACAACGGCGGCGAGTACACATCAGACCCCTTTCTGCAGCTATGTCGAGACGAGGGCATAGAGAGACACTTCACAGTTAGTCATACACCGCAGCAAAATGGGGGTGATAGAGAGGTTGAATCGGTCTTTACTGGAAAAGATCCGATGCTTATTGTCGCAGAATGGTTTGGAGAAGATCTTTTGGACTGAGGCACTTACATATGCGAGCCACCTCATTAATAGGCTGCCTTCATCTGCAATTGAAGGGAAAACCCCTATGGAGATGTGGTCGGGAAAGCCAGCACACGATTATGACCAGCTCAAGGTATTTGGGTGCCCTGCATATTATCATGTTAAAACTGATAAATTGGAACCTCGAGCTAGGAAGACCATATTTGTAGGATTCAAGCGTGGTGTCAAAGGATACAAGCTTTGGGATCCAGTTGATAAGAAGATTGTGCTGAGTAGGGACGTCACGTTTGATGAAGCTTCTATCTTGAAGCTTCCCAGCCCTCATCAGGTGGAGAGCGACCCGACGGAGGAGATATCGCAGGTGGTGGAGATCGATGCAGCTCCACATTGTTTAGATGGTACAATATCCATGCAAGTGCCGACTGAGGTGACGCCAGGCGAGCACGACAGTGACACGGAGGATACGAGTACAAATGTGCAGGATCAGGAACCGACGGCTCAGGTTCAGGATTCTATTGCGGTTCGATTCAATTAGATAGAACCATAGCTCTGATACCATGAAGGAAATCGTGCTATGTCTACATGCATAATACACAGCGGAAGACATGTATGTACAAAAATACTAAGCATGTAGAGAGCATGAAATATTCATATGGATCGTCTAATTAAATCTAACATGATCCTTATTATTAAGTGAGCATACAAGAGTTAGAAAGTCATACTTTCGTAGCGTGATTCGATGGAAGATCGAATAACCCCTAGCTCTTGCTCCTTGTAGTAGAAAATCTTCTTGTAGTGGATCTCCAAGTCTTCAAGTGAGCTTGATAAAATGAGAGTCTTCTTAAGACACAAGGCAAGATATCCACCCCGGGGTTCTTAAAATCCTACTACTTCCTCTTGCTCAAAGATTGCTAAAGTTTAGTAAGAGGAGAGCTCTCTTTTATTCTCTTATGGAAAAAACACTTAGCCAATTTTTCATTAACCTTTCCATAAGAAAAAGAGCTCATATGTATAGAGTGAAATGTGTGCATGATATGAATGACTCATCCTATGAGTCATGCAATGAATCATCAAAAATTAATGATTAATCAAGTGAGTCATGCAATGAATCATCTTATGAATCATTACATTTCAAAACCATGTGCTAATAAACCATGTGCTCAAACCATACCACTAAGTGACTCATCTCATGACTCATTATACATGGTATGTGTATTTCATAAATGAGAATACCAAATTATTATCACTAATACAGTATTTCATAAATACGGTATATAGTATTATTCCAATCTTTAACTAATTAGTCACTATATGACCAAATAAATCAAGAGTTGACCAAAAGTCAACTGTTGACCAAAAAGTCAACTAGTTGACTAAAAGTTAACTTTATGGGAAAAATACTGGAATTCATTTCCTAAGCACATAGCATTCCGATTTTACCGATATACATAACCGTTTATGTGTATCCGGAAGAAATCATATATGCGTATCAATCATACGCATCACTCCATAAATTGTGTTTCATAGGATTCAAGTACGCGCTTGGTGTGACTCTAGGGCCCAACTTAAAAAACTCGGTAGTGGATCATATCCATAAGTACAACAGAGGTGCTAGCTACACATGAAGACCACCCGGGTATAAGTTGTGATAAAGGTCTGCAAGATGCTTATCCAATTTTATCAGGACCACTCAATGATAATACCGTACAGTCCGGTCTCTTCGTCAAACCATGTCAAACTATTGAGCCTAGGGTATGGCAAACTGTCAAACCCTAATAGCTTGATTAGTGTTTATTGATATTAAACTCATAACCTATAAGATCAAACTGACACTCAGTTTATCTTATTCACCTTGGCCAAGGATTTCCAGGCTATAGTTATATCAAACAATCTTATGACATCAACCCCTATACTGGGAGAGACGAATCCCTTCTTGGCATCTCAATATCTACTTATGTCTCGGGATGTACCCAACAAGAATCGTTATGCACAATTCAATAAGAACTGTGGTTAGGTAAAAGTCT